ATTATCTCCTAAGCTTAATTAACCAGCAGTTGTACATTAAAACTCCATGTATTTGAATGGAGTGCCTCTATTTACCCCAAGCGTATAAGTGAAGTGCCTCTAATTACCCCGTACGGGGTAATAACGGGGTATTATAGGCACTTTGATGGAGCTCTTCGCATTTTGGATCCGGCTCAAAATTGGCCGGAGTTTTTGAAAAGATTTTTACATGAGCGTGTAGAAAAATGTTTGGTCTACCATCATGTTCAATAGCAACTTTTCCGATCAAAAACGGCCAAGAAATAGCAAAAAAAGGATGAAACTTTCGAAGAGTGTCCCTGATTACCCAGAAGTACTCTGTATACTCAGATTCCTGTGTGTGCGTGAAACTATCAAGTTGAAGAAATAGGTTGAAAAATGTACGAGCAATCGCCGGTCAAATAAGACTCGTTCTCTTCCTTTTATCGGACGAAAGAATTTTTTCTGAAGAAAGTCTTTTTCTCATAACGTTGCCTCACGGGTGTTTCAGTGGTAGCTTTTAGAAACTATTTTCCTGCACAAATTCAATCACGTACGTTGCCTATTTGTCGATGTGTACATTCGCATTTTTTTATTATTTTCCATTGTTGTAATCAGACTCTTGGGTCATCGAGAAAAGTGGACCTCTGAGCAGTGTTGAACAAAACACTTCAAATTTTTCAAGAAATACTAAACGGATGATGAGACCATATTAGAATAGTTGGTTGGGCGCTTACGTGTCTGTAACCCCGATGGAATTCAAGCTCTAATTAATTTATCGAAAGATGAAAGCATAATGGTGGTGAAGGTAATGCTTGCGTGATCATCGATAAACAACAGTACAAGCAAAAAGTAGAAGACTTATTAGCACAAGGAACCACATTTAAAAAGATGGAGGATCAAGATGGACACAGTAACAAAATTACATTATCGTATATTGTCAGTAAGATGGAAGGTAAGATCAATTACAGAATTGATAAATTGAAGAAATTCTGATCAGGACACGTATGGTTGTCTATACGTATCCAGAACTGGATGTGCTGGTTGTTTTGTCAACCAAAAGTACATAAAAAAGGACTATCCATGAGACCAATAATTTCAACGACACACATGTACAACTAGCAGTTAGTCAAATACTCAAGTGAGTTATTAAATCAAGCACGATCCACACCAAAAACATTTGTGCAATATTATTCCACTTTACCAAGATGATTCAACAACAGAAACCAGGCGAAAATGAACTAATGTTTAGTTTGGATGTGGAGTCGCTGTTCACCAACGTACCTGTTAATGAAGCAATCGGTTTAGCCATACAAATCATTATGAAAAAGAAAAACCACGACGCCAAGTTCATAAAACTGAATGCAAAAGATCTAAAACAATTATTTGAACTGGCTGTCACCGATATTCCATCTGGATTTTACGATCAATTGTATAAACAGCAAGGTGGTGTCTCCATGGGAAGCCCATTGGCTTCTATTCTAGCACATATTTTCATTGAACACATCGAAAACAAAATTGAGCATTATCTGGATCAGCATAAAATCCAGATTATGAAACGACATGTTGATGATATGTTCTTTGTTATTGATGGCAAACAGGAAGATGTTGAGAAACTGTTGGAATCAATCAATCAATTACATGATAAAATCAAATTCACATGTAAAGATGAAAAATATTTTTAATTACCATTTCTTGAGGTAAAAATTAAAAAGCAAGTGCGAGACAACCGTATACAGAAGACACCAACAAATACTGGCTTGTACCTCTATTGGTGGAGTTGTCTAGCGCGGACGTATAAAATTGGTCTGATTAGAACATTGATCACAGGTGCACTAAGAATAAAAGTTGGAAAATCCCTGGCGATTTTCTATAAAATAGAAAATAATCCCAAATTACAGTGTAAAACGTACATTCTTGAATGTAGCGGTAGCTACTCTCTGTATATGGGCCACATTTGCGCTTCCTTAGCGGATTGAAGCGACAGTATTGAGTGAAATAAGGCTAATTGCGACTACTGCAGGCAAACAATTTATATATGTGACTTTTCCTTTCAGTCAAGGGCACGATGTGCATTGAATAAGAAAAAACCAGATAAGGCTCATCTGCAACTCGCCGCTTGACTTTAGGGCTTGCCTAAACCGAAAAGGAGAAGGTTTACTTGGTTGATGACAGAAAGATCTCTAAAGATCTCAGAAAAGATCTCGAAAGATCTTAAGATCTCTAAAGACGAAACAAGTGCTTAATTTGCGCATCTCATTGATTGAAAGGCTGTTGTTCTCACAATTAGAAGTATTTTGTCAGCGAGTATTATATGTTAACTCTTTAGTTCTCTGTAGCGCCTTTTGTGGAAGAGGAGAAAATGATTTGCTTTTTGCCGAGCTTTTCTATATTCCATTTGATATTTGCAACACAATCAAAGCCGTTCAACGTATCGAAAGTTATCATACAGTTTCTTTTCTTTTTTGCAATGCCGAATTGAGTTGTAAGTATTCGATTCATAAATTAAGTAAGCACACGCACTGACAGCTCATTTCTATTATCTGAACTGACTCATAAATTGAGTGCGTTCACATGGCATAGACGAGATGTAATCGAACAGACATGAGGTGAGACCGAGCATGTGAACGTGACTTAAAACTAATTGTTTGGTTTAGTGCGCATCATGTAGATGGCAGAGATTAGTTTTAGTTGTAGCATATGTTGATCTGGTCACACATACAAGCGCGTCTCAAAATTATTTGAGCCCTTTTTCTTTCTGCCGAGGTTTTTTGTATGATCTTCGCTCCAAGTCAAATGGAGGGATTACAGTCATTTATTTATGAGAAAATTTCATTGCTTTGCCTGTTTTAGTTACTTATACGCGAGATCTAACAGAAAAATGGAGATATATCTGAACAAAAGGTTTTTCGGGTTTTCGTGCGGGGAAATGATGTATGTTATTTATCGTCTCGATCATGAGGTCATTGAGGAACCAGTGAGAAGAGATTTTACTGCCAGCTATAGTTATACTTAGCTAATAGTGCTCCAGTTTATACTGATTCTTCACGGTATACACTCGCAAAGCAATCTAAGTACGTCCGATAAAAACGCAAAAAAATTTCTATTATCATAAAAGTATGCCTCAACGTCTGTACTAAGTTTATGTAACATAGACCTTTAAAACATTATTGGTGAAAATATAAATGATGAAAATGAAGAAATAAGCAATAATTTTGATATATTACATTTGAGAATGGTAGATAATCGTTCAACCGTTAAACAGTTCAGTAATTTCCCTATTTTCAAATTTAGCAACACAGTTACGTATGGGAAGAGTCGAAGAATTCGATTTGGAGTCAGTTGAACAAAGTGATGTATAGTGTAATCTCATCGAAGTTGAATAGTTGTCCGATATCACATTTGCGGAGTTGGGCGATTCTGGTTCACTATATTTCATTTACACTTCGACACTGTTTTCTTGCGTTCTGTCTATGTAATACACACCGTCATACGGCCAGCTTTCAAGCCATTTGACACACAGTGTCTTCGCAAAGATGTGGCTCCATGAACGAAAATCATATGGTATAATTTTGCCAGGTGTATTCCAAGAATTATCTGATAAGGGGCGACATTTTTTGTTGTGCAATATCCTGTAAGTAATTCGTTGACAAATCTGTCCGGTTCCTGCCCCAGCCCGATTCATCAAATGATTTTCAGTGATGATTCTCCTTTTTATTGGACTTTTAAATGACCTGTTCGAACGAAATGTTATCTCTAATGAAGCCAGTTATGGGGAAAACTTTATTTTTACATATGCGAACTGGATCAGCAATCATTAATCAATACAGTAGCTCGTGCATCACGAAATAGATCTATAAGCAAGAATCAAGCTCAATAATTGATTATTAATGAATAAATAAATACTATGTATTGTACAAATATTTTATTTATGATTAATCTTCTACATTCTTGTCCGTCATAATGCAAGAATATATTAAAATGACTGTTTATTTGTTAACAAAAGTAATCATTATTATTTGTTGTGTTGTATTTAGATATAGTTATTTTCATTTCTTTGTTCTCATATTTATCTTATCATTTTTTGTTCTTGATCTGGATTATAATGTCTCCTCTGGTTATGCGAAAAAAAGCCAATCATCTGACTATCGATTGATATGAACGAGACGATGATCAAATTTATTTGTGAATGTTTTTTGTAAGTATTATTCGATCTCGATTATGTTCGTTATTATGTTTTAAGTACACACAGTTGGTATTTTCTCTTCCTCACTTTTTTCAATGCAAAATAAAGTTACGTTTACCAACGGAGGATAGACCCAGTTTATCTCGTCTGAACCGGAAATCGATGAATGCTTACTTGGTGGATCGTACAAAATTTACCTCTAATAGATTAAAAGAACATCATCTATACAAGATTTTTGTTTTATGTTCGCAGTCATTCCTTTTTTTATTATAAATCCTTATCTCAAACAGATTAGGTCTAGAGGTTTTCGTAAAATACGTAATTCGAGCGTGAACAGCTCAGATCGGTGTATTTTTTTCATAAAAACAGCAAAAACTTGTTCAATGATTCTAAATTCTAAATGAAAAAGCTAGATGGATACACTACTGATGGGAAGTGTAAAAGTTGTTTCTTGCAGTCGTATCGCTAAACAGTTGATAAAGTACGAGAGTATGTAAATTTTCGGTAAGCTTCTCTGCTTCAAAGAGGCATTTTAGCGATTTTTTGAAGGAATATCGTTCCACTCAAAGGATATTCAAAAATAAAGTAAAACCTTGATGTGTCACATAATTTAATATATAGATGTATATATAGTAACTCATTGTTGTACATAAACAATGCTAAATGTTTTTTCATCAGGTATGACATTTTGTGTCATAATAAAATCTAATGTGTACGTAGATGAAAAAATTAGAGTTTTCTTTTTGCCTTTTTTTTTTTTCCCTTCTTTAGCACAACAAAGAAGAAAATTTTTCTAATGATACAATATAATATACCATCTGACACACATGTACAATAGTATACACTCACATCATCTACGTAATAGTATATGGAAAGGAAATAAAAATAATTAACAACTTGAATGATAATCGAATTAAGTGTCTCATTTTAACCAAGAGATACTCTCAGTTTTAAAAGAGAGGGAACAGAAAAAAATGAAGACACCTACAGACACTTACAGACACCTTTTTAAATTTTTAGTTTTAGGTTATCACAGGATATTCACGGATGCCACAAGTCTTTTGTTCTTTTTTGTAATATCCTGCTCTCTTGAGTAAATAAAAATTTTATCTTATCTACCTACAGACAGCATACAGACATCCACATATAGCCACTGACAGCTACACAGACAGCCCAGAGACACCCACAGACAACCCAAAATAACTATACAGACATTCACTTCTGTGTCACTCTCATCTCGGTAGAAGTGAATGTTTGTGTAGTTATTTTGGGTTGTCTGTGGGTGTCTCTATGCTGTCTGTGTAGCTAGCTGTCAGTGCCTATTTGTGGATGTCTATGTGCTGTCTGTAAGTGTCTGTGGATGTCTTCATGTTTTACTATTACGCGTTTTAAAAGAGAGGAAAGAGAAATAGGAAGAGAACATTATCTTCAAACTAGTCAGTCATTTTTCATCAGTCGACAATAAAAACAATATCATGTTGTTTAAACAACTTGTTTGTTTGCCTAATGCCCGAAATTACTACTAGCGAAAATTATTTTATGTTATTATTGTGAACAAAAATATTATTGATTATAGAATATCGTAGTATTTTCCTATACTATTCAAACTTAGATCAATTAATCAATTAGCGGAAAATTTTATATATCTGAAAAAATATTTTGAAAGTAAAAAATATTTAAAAGAGAACGCAATTAGATTGAAAAGAGAACGTTTTGAAGTTTTCGGAGTACGCAAATTAATTGGAATAGAAAAGAGAACACATTTTAAATTAAAAATATTTAATTTCTACTATTTTCTCAGTTACTAAACATATCACTATACGATTTTTGTGGTATGTCATGATATGCATATAGTGCTGGTTCGATTCTAGTCAGAGGTCACTAATTCTTTTTTCTCTTCTTTAGTTTTCATTATGGTTATATTCTGGGCGATTAGTTACAATACCAATGATATGTTCATTGTAAAACAAATTTAAAATCATATGTATGTAAACATGCTCTTGGCATGACGATTCATTTAGACTATTATTTTGTTCGAGATCCATCAAAATTGAAAAATTTCAGCAAAAAACGTGGTGGATCTAAAAAGGTACGTTTAGCATTAATGAAATAAATATCTTTGTGGAAACAGTTATTATTTTTTCTTTGAAAATATGTTTCCTTTGAATATGTGACTTTTTACAGTATAGTGATATGTTTAGTAATTGAGAAAACAGTAGAAATTAAGTATTTTTAATTAAAATTGTGTTCTCTTTTCTATCCCAATTAATTTGAGATGAGGATTTTTCTGTGCACGGTTTTTTTCAGAATTATGCACGGTTTGCTGTTTTCCGTGCACAAAAAAATCTTTTGACATTTTTGTGCACGGTTACAGAAAGATGCACGGAAAAAGGCAGAAATGTGCATGGAGATGTTTTTGTGCACGGTTTTTGAAGAACGAGGTTAGTATTTTTGAACCTATTGTGTGATTGTTAAATTTTTTTTACCGCTATAAATGTA